ACATTTTCTATTCTATTGCTTCTAAAATTAAAAATTAACTTTACAATATTACTTTATAAAATAAAACCCTGGTGATACCAATTACAATTGATCACACCAAACTAAAAAGAGGATTCCAGCACCTCCGCTGCACATGAGCACATGGAAAGTGCTACTGAGAGGCCAACCTGTGAGAGAAGTGTGAGACTTGCATTTCTGCATGACAATTTTAAAGAAATTTGAACAGGACAAGGAGGTGCTGTAAGCAAGTGACAATGGTTTCCAAAACGAATAAGGGCAGAAATGGAGCAATGAGGGGAAAAAGAAAAATAGGTAGGCATTTTTTGTCTTAGATTTGTCAAATGCAGCCAAATATGGAAGTTTAGAAATGAAAACAAGAAACAGTTCTCTCAGTGAACACAAGGTCAAAGATTTGAAGTCATCACCTAGTTTTGCTCATCAAACACAGCTAACGCCAAGCTCTGTTCTAGGATAAGTGCCACTTTCTGTCCATGTCACTTTGACTAGCTCACTGATAATTCTGATTTTTCCCATTCCTGAACGAGTTAGCTTTACACAAACTTAGTGTCTTATTCTGTATAGATACCAGAATATTCGAGACTGTAATTTACAAAGAATTAAACAAATGTATTTTCTCACAGTTCTGGAGGCTGGGAAATCTAAGATCAAGGCACCGGCACTCTGTCCGGTGAGGGCCTTCCTACTGTGTCCTCACATGGCAGAAGATGAAAGTTTAGGAGACAACGTTAGCCAAACATTGCAAGAAGCCTGTCTTCCTTCCTTCCTTCCTTCTTCCCTCCCTTTCTCCCTCCCTTCCTTCTTTCCTTCCTTCCTTCCTTTTCTTTTTTCTTTCATTGTCTTTCTTTTCTTTCATAGTACTGAGAATTGAACCCCAGGGCCTTTGCACTGAGCACATATTCCTGCTCTACCATATTCCCTTTTCTTGAGCCAGGGCCTATGTCACTAAGTTGCCCAAATTGAACTCAAACTTGTAACCCTCTTTCCTCAGCCTCCCATAGTGCTGTGATTATAGGTTGTGTCACCATGAGAAGACTCTTTTATAGGGACCTTAATCCTCTGGATGAGGAAACAGCTTTCATTACCTAATTACCTTTCAAAGGACCCAAATCTTAATACTACCTCATTGGAAACAACTTAATTTTGAAGGGGACTTATTCAAACCAGAGCACTTTGAGAAGCTAGCGTGTATCTTTATTTATTTTCTACCTCCTACTGGTATCTAAAGTAGTCAGTATTCTTTAACCTCTGATAAAGCTTCTCCTTCTCAGAGCACACAATAGCTCATGGAAATCATGTAATATAAGTAGAAGACCTTATAGTATACCTAAAATACAGTAAAGTTCATCAAATGCTAATTGTTTGTACCATCATTCTTACTATCACATTTCATTTCCACTGCCTCCCATCTTGCTCCTAATCAAAACTCTCCATCTTTCCATTTCAGACTAAGGAAAGCTATTTGAATGTACAAAATGTTACGTGGACATAACTATTTATAATGTCCATCTTTTAATAACACACACACACACACACACACACACACACAAACACACACATCTTGACCAGCTGAAACAATCAAATACAGCCCAGTGCACTGATACTTTTTAAAGCTCCTGAAGGAATTTCAATTTGCAGCCAGGGTTAAGAAGCACTACTAGTCTCTACACTTGAATCATTTACCAGGCCTGAAGCACTGGGTATATCACTTATTTGTTCAGTTCATCCACTGTTAAACATTTACTGATCGGTTACTGAGTGCAGGTTAGGGTGCTTCTCAGAACTCTCCAAAAGCTAACACATCATCCTCAGATTCAAAACATAAATTTCTGCTTCAAAATTCCTCATTAGCTTCAAAATTCTTCATCAACTGACCATTTCCCTCCTCTGTAATCAACATTCCCACTTTCACACATTCTTCCCAAACTTTCTCAATCTTTCTTGATCCTTTGTGGAAGCTCCAAGGCTCTCAGCTGCATCCCAAGGTTTTATTCAAAGCAATCTCATCTTATGAAAATCATCAGCCAAATTTCTCTATACAATATGACATTTAGATCACTGAGATTCATATGTACATTCTCCATGGACTCAAACGACTCTGAGGGAAGAGAGGATATTTCATTCATTGTTGAATCCTAACACTGAGCACAGTTTCTGGCAAAGAATAAATTATAAGCAAGCTTTGGTTAGAGAAAAGGATGAACTAATAATAAAGGTATATGATTGTAAAATGTTTTCTGAATCATCAAAGGAAGACAAAATATATGGGGGGAAACTTTTCTTTCTTGAGACACTTCAGATTATTGGTTAAAAGCATAAAATTTGGGATCTAGATCTATTGCCATATTTTATATTTGTGGTCTATGGAAATTATTTCAACCTTTCTGGGTCTCAGTTTTTCATCTATAAAATGGAATTAAAAGAAATTAACTCATAAAAAAAAAAAAAGAAATTAACTCATGAAATGATGCAAGATTAAATCAAATAAAGCACTTAGAAAAATATCTGGCATACAGTAAGGTAAATTAGGCAGAATAATGACTATCTATCAGAGCTTAGGTGTCCATATGGTAATTTCTGAAACCTGTGACTATGTTACATTACATGTCAATGGGACTTTGTATCTATGATTAAGTTACAAACACTGAAATGAAGCTGTTACTTTGGATTACCTAAATGAGCCCTATGTCATAGGGTCCGTAAAAGTCAGACGGGAGAAATGACAAAAGAAACCAGGGGTGGGAGTGATGCCGTGGCTGGAAAGCAGCCACAAGTGAGGGTATGATGCCGCACTTTAAAAGCTAGAGAAAGCAAGGAACAGATTCTACTCTGGAGCCTTCAGGAGGAATACAGCCTTGCCAACAATTTGACTTTATTTCCTTAAGGCTCAATTTCAGACTTGTGATCTCTAGAACTACAATATGAGATTATATTGTTTTAACCTACTATGTTTGTGGCAATTTGTTAGAGCCATACTAGGACATTAACAAAAGGCACATATAAGAATGACAATTCTCATTTTTCTACTGTTACAGAACATTTCTTAACAAGCATTAATAGTGATAAGTCATGCCAAGAGCATGCATTCTTTTAATGTTGTAAGAATGGCCTTTTACCTGTGTGTGGTCTTTTCCTAAAGAATTCATACAAAAAAAGTTAAAATAACAGGCTTTTCTGAATCTTCAAGATTGACCCAATGGCTAGGTTTTAATTGCTGAGACAAAATACCCACCACCCAAGTTAAAGGTGGAAAAGTTTATTTAGCTCACAGTGCATAGAGGTTTCAGTCCATAATCGGCTGGCTCCAAGGCAGGGTGGCATGGCAGACAGGTATCACAGAGAAACAGTACACGGCAGGCAGAAGGTAGCAAAGCAAACAAGAGACCAGACAAGCCTCTTTCTGTCCCTTACATTACATCCAGACTACCAGGATTAGGGCAGTGCCAAACCAAACAGTGGACTGATTTAATAATCACCTATCCTTAATCCTAGCATCCTTAATCTTAGCATGCACCATGAATCAATCACATACTCTACATCTGGCCACTTCTGAAAAAGCCCCACCTATGACTGCATGAGGCTTTGGGGCGATATCTAGACACAGCCATATCATTTAATAAGAGTAGTTCATTGCACCTAATCTGCTTGTGGTTTATGCTAAACATCTTTCCTTTTGAGAGTCTAAAATTTTTGGTATGTGTTAGGCAGAAAATGCCTACATGATTAACTCCCAGCGAAAACCTTAAATGCTAAGTCTACAAACTTCCCTGGTACAGAGTATTTCATTATCATAACTTATTGCTAGGGGAATTAAGCACATTCTTTAAAACCTCATTACATGAGAACCTTGGAAAGTTCCTGGTTTCTTGCAAATTTTGTCCTATAAACTTTTTCCCTTTGCTGATACTGATGTTTATCCTTTTATTACTATTAAAGATAGCTCTGAGTATGATTTCTTTTTGGAGATCACTAAATATGAAGAATTTTGGAGAATCTGTGACACAACCATTACATTAGTCTAATCATAGGAAATACCTTTAAAAACAAATCCCAGGTACGGGATGTTCTATAAAGTATCTAGGCAGTATTCCTCAAAATTATCAAGTTCATCAAAAATAAGGAAGGGAGAAACATTGTAATAGCCAAGAGAAAACTAATGAGACATGACAATTAAATGCAACATGATATTCTGGATGAGATCTTAGATAAAATCAGAACATTATGTAAAATCTAAAATTATTTTGAATAAAATATGACTTCAATAATAATATATCAATATTTATTCATTAATTATGACAAACATACCCTACTAATCTAAGATACTAATAGTAGGGGACACATAGGTATGGAGAAAAGAGCAATCTTTTGCATAAACTTCAAAATTTTCTATAAATTTATCTTAAAATAAAAAATACTTGTTTTGAAAAATTTTTGAGCATTTATTAGATACATACTACTGTGCTACTTAAGGTAACAGTGCCCACACACTCCCCCAATTCATTTATGTGTGTTTTGAAATTATTCAAAATATTAGGAAGGCAAAACTAAACATTTTATTTTATTTATTTATAGATGCTTTCACAGAAAGTGAAAGCAAAATATAAGTATCATCCATTGAACAAGCCCTAAAACTTTCATTCACAAAAAGAGTGGCAAACTTCTATTGAGCAACTTGATACAAAACTGAATTAGCAACAAACATTGATGTTTACTGTTTACACATGACTGAAGGTCATGATGATCTTTCGATCTATTAATTGTAATCTTTCCTAAAAGAGCATTTCATGTTGATGTTCTTAGTAAAACCATCAAAATCTGTATCATCTAATTAAAATTGTTATATTTTTGTTATTAAAGGTTTTCATTTCAATAAACCATTTCTTTTCTGGAAAAAGAATGACTAGAGAATAATTTGCAACACTTAGATCATTATTAAATTCTGAAGGTCAAACAACCAAATATGTATTTGTAATATGACTTACACATAGTTGAAGATGATGAACTGTCTGAAAAAGAGTAAACAGATGCCTTTAAAAACTAAACTGTGAAAAACTAAAACTGGATTCCTAAGTGCAAATGAAAATGAAACCTAGTGACTTTGTGAAAGACTTATCTTTTCTCGATAAACCTGAATAAGCAAGTCTTTAATAAACTGTATTTTCTTCTATTCTCTCCAGTATGTAAATCACACTCTTTCAAATAATATAAAGGATTTTAACTCTTTAGCTTACTAAAAATGTACTAAAATTATTGTAGTGATTTATTATAAACCTGATGGTCAATTATTTTATATTTTTATGCACAATATTGTACAGAAAAATAAGTCATACTTTCACAGTAGCTTCCTGTGGTCCTTAAACAGATATTTTCTTTTATTCATATTAAATAGGTCCAAGGTTAAGAAATATACACATAGGAGAATGAAATGCTATTTATTTTATTTTTTTTTATTTTTTAATTTTTTTTTGGTTTTTCTCCGGTACCGGGAACCGAACTCACGACCTTGCACTTGCCAGGCAGGCGCTTTGCCGCTGAGCTAAATCCCCAGCCCCTGAATCTTATTTTTGGATCAGTTAAAAATCTGTCTCCCTGAAGAGGATACTAACTCACCAAGTCCTCTTTCTCCTGAGAGTTGTCTTACCACCCCCCCCAGTAGAT